AAAACAAGAATATATTCCTCATATTGTGGAACAAAACAATTATACAAATTTATATTTACAATCCTTAGGAAAGCAAACAGAAAGAATAGAAAGAATTGTATCCAAAGAAAAATCTGCTGTTACCTCTATTCCTAAATCAGTATTATTTAAACCACCTCCAGAATTAAATAAAACTAAATTTCATATTGGAGACAATAATAAATCCCTTATGGATCAATTAATATCAAAATTATCCCAGTTAGATATTAAAGGGGTACCATCACCCCAAATACCCTCCATTTTTGCTTTTTCACCCACATGCTTTCGCTATTCTAATTTTCTTTTAACAATTTTTTTTAATTTAATAATGATTGTTCTAGCTAATAAATCCCACCCCAAAAAAACTGAGAGTCAGTAAATAGGAATAAAATAAGTAAAAAGAATCTAACATGAAGATATTTCCAACAAAAATCAAATACATGAAGTATTAGGAAAAAAGTATTAAGGTATTTCTTTTGAAAACATTCTTTGAACAATTAATTGTTGGGCTTTTTAGGAAAAAATCATATGAAATTTCTATATTTAACATGTTACATGTAGTTCACTAGGCCTTTTTTTTTCTTTTCTGTTTTTCGCTAAATTAAATGCGTTAGAGCGTGGTTTAAATACATCAGGCCATTTGAGCCCAAAAGTGGCGAAAGAGGCGAAGAAAAATAGTCCTCAAAAGTTGAAGGAAGAAAACACCTTATATGGACTTGAAAACAGCTCCTTAGGATACTCCGCTCTCAAAAAAGCGAAGAAAAATAATCCCACATTGGGACCTGAAGGAAGAAAACTCCTCCTTAAAACTTGCGTCCCCTATTTTGCAATTCAATAAGTACCAAGCTTGAACATGCGGTACATGCCCCATGTTGGATGCGATGATAGGTCGCACCAGAGGGGAGGGTAAGCCTAGCGCGCGTAGGTAGTGCCGCCACATGAACAGAAAGTTTGGTTGCCACCTGGCTCACCTTTTTTATTGAAAAGAGCAAATCAAACAAATTGAAAAAAAAAAAAAATGGGGTGGAAAAGCACTGGTTCTCACGAATTGTCCAAGACAAAACCGGTACGAACCAGCCGATTCTAGAGGGAGTTGGTTGGACCACGATATATTTGGGATCAAGAACATCCAAATGATTTCGGATCGAGATCAGGCGATTCCGATCTGCATCATCAATTTTTAAAACGTTGGAGAATTCTAAAAAATTTACAACGGAAGAAGATAATAAGTACAACTTTTAACAAACATGTAGATAAAGGACATGTCCAAGACCTTTTCTCGGTTCTAAATATGTAAGTAATTTTCTTTCTAATACAAGTTAACCTTTTTTCAAAGAAAAAGGATGGGTCCGAGGACACCAGATGTTTTATGGCATCTTTTCAAGGACTATAGAGACATTGTTAATAATTATATTTTGGAAGGGTTTATGAAATTTTCTTATTAAATTAGAATCAATGTTCAAAAACTCGGCTACCCGACAGCCGCCTAATCGGATGAGTGGCCAACATGCCTAAGCGGCATCTAGACGGGGCACCTAGGCAGCTTGCGTCATTGACATATTTTTTCTTTTACTTATTTTCCCTTTTATGATATATTGACATATTTGTCATTGTAGGATTGAAGTTTTGTGATTAATTGATTTTTTCCTCATTTGGACAATAAATTGGGCCTATATCAATTTTTTTATGAATAATTGATTCTTTTTTGTACAATGTGTCATGTTTTGATCCTTAGTTGGACGATGACTTTGTATATTATTTTTAGACTTCTAATTTTCTACAATGACATTTAGGATTTCAACCATTTTGATGTCTTACAATCTCTCTGGGTCTTTGTATCTATAAATATGTTTTGTGACTATAATAGTATGTTTCCTCTTTTTCACGAGGGGTTTAGGGCTCTAAAATTGCCCTAAAAACTCCCTAAGGCCTAAGACCCTGCCCTAAAAACTCCCTGAGGCTTAACACCCTGCCCTAAAAACTCCTTTGTCCTTTTTGTTTGGGGGAGGGGGGGTATCCCTTGTTCCTGGGTAGGTATGGGCCTAGGCGGGCAGGCCCCCAAAACGCCTCGCCGCCTGCCTGTGCTTTTTTGCACATTGATTAGAATATTTTCAGCAGCAAATGCAACCCTCATTAGACTTCCAAATGTTAAAGGGGACTGAATATCAAGTATTTAGACCTCAAATGGGAAGCATCAATACCTTAAGTGCAAAACAAGGTTTCAAAAAACGGTCTGCGCGGCACCTAGGTGCCCAAGACACCTCTGACAGCATGCCTAGACCTGGGCGCACCATTTGAGCGGCTATAGCGGGCGCCTAGACGGGCCAGGCGGGAACCCAGGGACGTGGGCTTCTTTTCGATTTTTAAAAATGTTCAAAAGGGAAAAGGGGATCATTTTGACATCCAAAAGGGTTTAAATAGGTTATGGAGGTTATTTTTAATCCCCCAAAGTTAAAAGAACACTTCCATAAGCCATCAATCTCTTATTCATACCTATTTCTAAGAATCAAAACTACTTTTTGTGATTTGAAGCTTTCTAAACTTTTCCACTTATTATGGAGTATGGAAAGTTGAAGATTATTACTAATTCATAGCCTACTAGACTATCAATTTTTCTATGATTTGAATTTTGAAATTTTGAACAAATTTATTCTCAACATGCGATATGTCATATATTTGTATATAAAAAGGTATGTTACAATACTTTTAAAAGCAATAAATTATAAAATTGACACAAACATATGCATATATGTGCGTTTGGACAACACATATATGTATATATCTAAAAAATTTGGGCTACAAGGCACCTGAGGTTCTAGACACCTGCCTGGGCGCTAGGCGCTAGGCGCTAGGCGCTAGGCGCTAGGCGCTACGCGTCATGCCGGCCGCCTAGCATTTTTTGAAACCTTGGTGCAAAAAGAGAGGCATTGTTAAGGGGAGGTGTTTCCTCTTTCTTTCTTTTTCTTAAGGCCAAGGTTTTGTATTATGTATAGAAAACCGATGCACAAAGGTATAAAATCTAGTATCCCACGCATCAGGAGCTCAGCACTTACAAAAGCAAGTGGAAACAAATGTTGAATAGCACAACTATGGTATAGATTATTGAATACCATATTTAAATTTACAGAACAGGGATTATCTTACATTTTGACTGAGAAAGATAATATGATTATGACCATTTAGAATGAGAATTTCTAGTAACCATGTCAGAGATTTTGCTTCAGAGTCAAATTTTGATTAAATGGCCAAATTTCATGCACAAAAAGTGGATAAGAAATGTTGAACAGAATACCTAAATGCCTCATTTTGATGTTCTAGGAACAGAGATAAGGAGACCTCTTTACTCGTTTTCATTTATGTTTGAAACTTTGAATATCTCATCATCATCATCAGAGCCTTTTCCCAACTAATTGGGGTCGGCTACACGAATCCTAGTCCACCATTATGCTCTATTAAAAGATATACCCTCAATGAGGTTATAAGTCCCCATATCTTTTCTCACTACTTCCAACCATGTCCTTTTGGGCCTACCCCTCGCGCTTTTTTAGCCTTCCACTTGAACTAACTCGTACCTCCTAACAGACGTTGTATTGAATATGCACCACACATGACTAGCCCACTACGTCTGCCTTCTCTCATCTTATCGCCC